AGAGCCCTCACGCTACTGCTAACCGGAACCGGAAGCAAGCTAAGAAGAAGCGGAAGGGCGGTACCTCCCCCAAACAGCCAATCGCAGCGCTCGGCTGCGCTGCTGCCTTCGCGGATTGGTCGAGGCAGTAGCCGGAGTGGAGAGGCGGGAAGAGTGGCGCGGGGCTCGGTTGCTATAGCGACGGCCGGGCCTGGGCCTTTCCAGAAAGCTCGGCGGGGTCTCGGGGTTCGGGGTCGGGCAGCTTTGTTTACTTCCGAGTATTTCCTGTCTTTGCGCAGGGTTTGGCTCTTCCCGAATCCCTTCCAGTCACCATACGGCTCAAAGAGCTGTTCGTCCAGGCCCAAGCAGGGCCGAGGGTCTGCAGCCTGCAGCAGGGAGAGACTGCGCCCGTCCTGCTGGCTGCGTGGGCCTCTCCTTCCCCCTCACTGCTGGTTTCACTCCTCCTTTGCACCAAGAGCTGTGTGTCCTTAGGGTGAGTTGTCCTTATCCCCATAGGGTGTCTGCTGCCCAAGGTCCCCCTGAAATCAATCAGCAGATGCTGCCAGTTTCCCAGACTGACTTGTGCTGGCCAACAGACGCAAATATCTGGGTATTTTGTGGTGAAAATTTATAAACGTGGCCCTCAGTTCCCTCTTGTTTGTGCACCAAGAGCTGTGTGCCCTTAAGGCATTTGTTCCCATCCTCACAGGGTTCACCAGGCCTGAGTGAGGAATTTCTCACAGGCCCCCCTGAAATCCATAACTGTGTGCTGCCACTTCCCTTTTGCTGATCAAAACATACAAATTCCAGAGCAATTCAGGGTAAAAATCTGTAAACCCGGCTCTCACCTACCTAGCATTTCTCCTGCAGCACGTGGGGCGCTGCCTCAGGTTTAGTCTGGCTTCACTTATTCACTGGCTTCCTTAGCTGTAACAGCACGAATCTCCTGTCAACAAGGTTAGGCAAACATCTGCTGATAAAATGACTTCCAGGTTGCTCTTTCCAAGGCCGGAGCACACAGGCCATTTGCCATGGGGTCCTCGCTCCAGACGAGCACTGTGAGTCTGTGTGTGTGTGAGTGAACTCCTTGGCAGCGACACCTGCCAGATAGCACGGCCTGATTGCAGCGTGGGGCCTTGGTGCCATGGTACAGCCCGGGTTAATGACTTTGTTTATACTGTTTGGGTAATTGTGATAAGGCTGCCCAACCCGCCGCCCCATCCCTGCGCTGCGGCTGCTGGTGTTTCATTGAGAAAACGGCCATTGACGCCATGCTGAGATCTTGCTGGTCCCAGCCAATCAGTCTGGGGACAGCTGGTTGTTTTTTTTTTTTTTTTTTTTTTCCCTCTTTTAATGAGGACCGCTTAATCACAGAGCGGTCAAGGCTGGGAAGGGGTGTTCCACTTGTGACCGAGCCTTATAAGAGCTTGTTTGAACAGCCATGTGCTGGCAGAGCAGAGGGGACAGGTCACTCCCAGACTGAGACGGGGAGGAAACTTACAGGTCTCTTCCATCTGCGGAGTTTCACAGAGGATACGGGCTCCCAGTTCTGCTCTGATGACCAGTAGCATGGACATGGACTGCGAGAGGTGTCAGTGCCAGCATGAAGACAAACACTCAGCCATTCTCTACACCCTCCTGAGCCAGAACCTGAGCCACAGCCCACCCCACCAACGCTGCCTGTGTCACCAGCGCTGGACCGTCTGCCTCCGGACACCCCATATCACCTGCCAGGCTGCCTCTGATGTGTTGGTGAAAACCATCAGCTTCATGAAAAACCTCCCTTCCTTCCACCTGCTGCCACGGGGAGACCAGCTCCTGCTGCTGGACAGCTGCTGGGTCCCCCTCTTTCTCCTGGGGCTTGTCCAGGAGACGGTGACGTTTGAGGTGATGGAGACCCCAGCCCCCAGCATGCTCGAGAAGATCCTCCTCGATGGCCAAAGCAAAAGGCAGGAGCCTGAGTGGACGCAGCCCATGCTGGCTGCTGTGCAGTGGCTGCAGTGCAGCCTCAACACCTTCTGGAGCCTGGACTTGAGCCCCAAAGAATACGCCTACCTGAAGGGAGCCATTCTCTTTAATCCTGGTGAGTGCTCAACCCTCTCAACTCTGCCTGCTGGTGGCAAGAGAAAGCCCTGCATGAGTTAGCACTTGAAAACACAGCTCTTGGCTTGGAGTTACTTAGAGTTTGGGCAAAAGCTTGTGTGTGAGAGCAGGGAGAGCTGCTCACATTATCATTAGCACCAACAGTTTACAACTGGGACTCAGGGAGGAGGGATACTGAATGCAGTGTTTAAAAACAGAGACCTCCTCACCTTGCAAACAAAGAACCCTGGGACTTATTCTATAAAGCTTATGTTTGCCCTGTTAGCTATATTTACTCCCTCAACACAACAGCCCTGAAATACATGTCATTAGTGTGGCACTCGGAGGTTTTCTCCAAGATACGGGGAAGGAGATGGGAGAAACCTAGAACTTTTTTTCCAGCCTTCCTCTTCACATGCCTTTCCTCCTTTCTCTTGGCAGATGTCCCAGGGCTGACAGCCTCCCTGTACATCGAGAGCCTCCAGCGGGAAGCCGAGCGAGCGCTTCAGGAGGTGGTGCGGATTCTGCACCCCGAGGACCAGGACCGCTTTGCCCTCATTTTGCTCATCACCTCCACCTTGAAATCCATCCCTCCTGCCCTCATCACAGACCTCTTCTTCCGGCCCATCATTGGCAATGCAGACATTGTTGAGCTCATCGTGGATATGCTGTATGAAATTACCAGCTGGCAGCCGGCTCCCTCACCGCACACGGCTCTCTGAGCTGCTGTGCTCTGCCACAGCCCTGTGGGTGTTTTCCAACACCTGGCAGGGCAGCAGAGAGGACTGGGGAGCAGGCATTCAGGACCACAGAGAACTGGCTTTGTGTGTGCCTCTTGCTAGGCTGTAGGGCTCAGCAAGGTTTTAGCAGAGCATGCAGGAAAGCAGCCTTGATTCAGCAGATGTCTGTGGCAGCTCCTGCTCTACCTCTGCCTGTCTGTTTCAAGGAGTGTGAGTATGTGTGTGTGGCTGTTTCCCTGTTCTGCAGCTGGTGGTACTCAGCTGCTAGCAAGCAGGCCAGCCCTGTGACACAGGGCAGATTGAGTTAGAGCCTGCTCCAGTTTTTTTGTTTGTTTGCTTTTTTGTTTGTTTGTTTTTTATCTCAGTGAATCCTCAGTTCAATTAAAACCAATGTGTGTTTTGCTGTTAACTCCAAGAGATGAGGTTTGACCTCAACTCACTGCCCATGACAGCTCAACTCTGTGGTAGTGGTATTTAGGGGTGCTGAGTATCTTCAGTGGTATCACTTGTAGAGTATAACCAAGTGCAAACAGTAAGAAATTAGATCTTTAAGTATTGGCCAATGTCTGTTGTGCATGAAATCTCAGAAATATTCATAGAGAATCTTCCTCAGGCAGCAAGAGGGAAAAGTATAAAATCTTACAGGGTGTGCAAGCCAGCCAAATTAACGCCTTCTGCCTTTCATCAGATTGCATCTTCTCTCCATTATGCCACGAGCTGCAACAGGATTGCTCACAGAGCAATGGATTACCTAAGAGCAGTGAAATGTATGGCAAATAATGCTGCATGAACATCAGGGAGTTCATCCTACCTGTACACTACAAAGGTGCTTTTAGCAACATTGAGAATGGCTCAGGCTGTGGGCTTGCCTCTGTTCCTGTGACAGCAAGCAACACAATGAGCTACAGATACTGAACAAACAAGCAGAACTGTTGGTGGCAGAATAAAACATCCCTGCCTTGAGTTACAGCTGGTTAAACATGTAGCACGTCTGGAAACCTCGCTTCTCCTGACTGCAGCTTTTGTGAAGCATTAGATGTCAGTATTTTATGGGTGGACCTTCTTTTGGTTTGTATATAAGATACAGTAAATTATTTTTTTAATAAAATGTTTTACCTTTTGGAAAACGATGGTGACTTTCAGGGAGGGTGTTACATTTCTGGGATTCTGGGCTTAGAGAAATACCGGCTATAAGCCTGGTATGGAAAGGACACCTGAAAGCAGGGCCAGAGCCTTTCCCCTCTCAGTGAAATCCTTCTGCCTCGTCATCACAGGGGAGCGTTGCGATGTGGTCACAGGAGTGTCTGATTCACAGCCCCGTGGCACACCTCTGTGCACCCAGCAGAGAGAAATCTGCAGAGGCAGCAGAACCGCAGCCTGTCTGTACGCTGCACCTTCCTTCATGCACGCAGCCTCACCCGGAGGTGCTGAGGCAGGAGGTGGGTGCTGACTCACCTGGATGTGCACACAGCCGTCAGCAGGCACGGAGACCAGCCTGTGTGCCACGCATGGCCCTGCTGAGGTGCCTGCTGGAGCCACGCAAGGTCTCCTGATTCCCCATCACCCTGAAACACATCGCACTTGAACAGGAGCTTGGTGGGAGAACGGCGCGTCCTGCCCATCTGTCCCTTCACCCCTGCTGCCAAACCATATTAGGCTGCTTCCAAGGCGATCTCAGCCCCTGACAGCCATTTTCCAAAGGGAAGGAGACTGTGAGTCACCGGATGATTTCCGCAAGCCCACGCCAGCCACGAGCTGCTCAGCACGGTGACACACGCGTGAGTCACTGCACGCAGGGCACCCAATAGCCCCGTTGGCACAGTAACCCAGCAGCAGGCAGGCAGGTGTCTGGGCACAGGGAACAGCCCCCGGTGCCTCCATCCCACTGCTGCTCCCAACAGCTCCAGGAAACAGGAGTGCCCCGTGCATGGTGGGGCAGCACCTCACTTCAGCCTATGACACCACAGCATCGCTCCTTTTCCCCGTCTGACACACAGCTCTTAGAGCTGCTACTTTACCTAGCAGAAAGGAAAACTAAAAGGAAAAGAAAAGAAGGAAAAGGAAAAACAAACAGCAAGACCCCCCCGGGGTTGGGTTGCACGTGGGAACCCCCAGCAGCACCGACCCCAGATCCTGCAGTTCCCCTCCCCGCCACGAGGCGGCGCCCTCCCCCCCCCACAGGTCTGTTGGTGACGTCATCACAGCGCGCCCAGCCCCGCGTGACGCACCGTTGGGCGGACAAGATGGCGGCGCCCAGTTGTGAAGTCCCTAATGGCGGCGCCGCTGCCGCCCGTTATTGCCTGGTAAGCGGCATCCCGGCTGCGCTGCGCTCTGCCCATCTCCGCGCCTACTTCAGCCAGTTCCTGGAGGCCGGCGGTTTCCTTTGCTTCCACTACCGCCACCGCCCCGAGCGCCCGCCGGCGGGAGGCAGCGATGGGCAGAGCGCAGCGCCCAACACCTGCTGCTGCCCGGTGGCCGTGCGGCCCGGCCGGGCCCGGCGCTTCGTCCGCATGTACTCGGGCCGGCGCTGGGTCGGGCCCGGCGGCACCTCGTTGCCCGGCCGCTGCCGCGTCCGCAGGGTCCGCCTCCGCCCCGGGTCAGGTACGTCTGGGCCTCCCCTGTGGGCCCGCTGAGCACAGGGTGTGTCGGCCCCCCTCCCTTTCCTTCCCTCTCCCTCCTTTTTCCCCCTTTCCCTCCCGGTGGAGTTTCCTTAACACATTACATTCTTTATGGGGCAAGCAGAGTCAGTCTGGGGGCTGTTCCTCTATCTGGGCCTTCCCAGGAGGGCCCCGATTTGCCTCTCTCTGATATAGGAGTGTGTTTTACCTCCCCAGATCACTCCTTCCCTCTTGGGGGCACAGAGACGTTTCCCACTGGAGTGGACACGAAGGCTGAGGGTGAAACCGTCACGGAATCGGACTTGAAGCGGCTGCCTGAGTTCAACCCCCCTTCCTTTATGCCTTTTGGGAACGTGGGCACCCCTCTGAAAGTCTTTCTGGAGCTGATCCGTGCCTGCAGGCTGCCTCCCAGGATCATCAAGAAATTACAGCTGGATTTCCCAAAGACAGGCTCATCCCGGAGGTATGGCAATGTGCCTTTTGAATACCAGAACACTGAGACGGTTATAGAAGAAGAAAGAGTTTACACTGCCACGGGGGATGAGATCACAGAGGACGAGGGGCCTGTGGCAAGATCTGAGGTGACTGATCCAGCCAGTGCTGAGGAAGATGAGGTGGAGCAGGAAAAGGAGGAAGAGGAGTCGCACTCGGATGATGTGAGTGGATTTTTGTAGTGCTGCCTGAGGTCAGGCACTGCGCTGCAAAGCTGAGAGAGTTGATGTAACTATTAGAGCTAATTGTTAATCTTTTAATTGTATTGTGAAGTCTGCTTGTCTGAATACGGTGTTAAATGTGGTTGTTCACATTCTGAGCTCCTCGGTGAACGTAGTTCACTACGTAGTTAATACTACCAGAGCAGCTTGTCCAAGTGAAAGTGCTTTATGATGTCAGCACAAAGAGCTCAGTCCAGAGGATGGAGCCCAGCTGGTGGCTGGTGCTGCAGGAGGGCACCTCTGCCTGCTGCGTGGCAGGTTGGTCTGGCTCTGCTCGTAAATGAGATGGCTGGAGACTGGGGAGCACATTAGTGTTCTGGAAATGACATGCAGAGTCGTGCAAATGGTTGACCTTGAATGCTCCTGCAATACAAATTAGTCATTTGGAGAAAAATGATTTTCTTGACAAAGACTTCTAGAAAACTGGGCTGGTCTGGCTCTCCAGAGATCATCTTGCTCCCCCTGACAGACACCTGTCTAGCCTGTTCTCCCAAATCTTTGTTATTAGAGGCAGTGCAGTCCTGAGGCAAGCCATTCCTGTTCTTGGCTGTCCTGCCATTATACACCAGAATTAACTTGTATGTCAAATCTTTGCTGCAGTTTTATTCCATTAGATTCTCCTAGCAACAGCAGGCACAGAGAATATTTTGTTTCTTCCTTTAAAAACTCTTTATTCAACAGCTGCTTTCAGTCTTTTCCAGCCTAAGCAAGTCTGCTCCTCTGGCCATTTCTCAGGCTCTGTTTCCCGGATCTCCAGCTATTCTCTTGGACATTCCTCAGTTGGTTAATGTCTCCCTTGAAGGGCTGTGCCCAAAGCTGGGCAGACAGCAGTAAAGCTGTCAGTCTGATCTGTAGCTGTGCCAGCAAACTCCTTTTCTGGAACCGATACAATCTCTTTAGGGATCTAATTGAGTGGAATTAATTTGTTGCTAGTGCTGACTTTACCTACAACACACCTGCTCCTTAAATGGACATCTTTGCGTTACAGATCAGGTACAGTGCTGAAAGCATGCTGTGAAGTGGGTGTGATGTGGTATTTTTCACCACTTCTGTCTGCTGACTCTGAAGATGGCATTAGTCAGGGGAATGAGGTCATCAGCACTGGTCATGTCAGTGCCTGAAAACAGCAGGCTGAGACGAGCTCTATTGACAAAGGTGTTCTATAGTAAAAGCATTGCAATGGACCGTGAGGGTCAGGGAAGTGAAAAGGAGACTTTGTGCTGCTGCTGTCCCCCACCTTTTGCTGGTTTCTTTGCAGGACAATGATACCTGTGAGGAATGGGAGCGACACGAGGCTCTGCATGAGGATGTGACCAAGCAGGATCGTGTGGAGGAGCGGCTGTTTGAGGAGGAGATTGAGCTGAAGTGGGAGAAAGGTGGCTCAGGCCTTGTCTTCTACACAGATGCTCAGTACTGGCGGGAGGAGAATGGAGGTAATGTTGGTGTCTGTGTCACTGCACTGCAAACTAACCACCACAAGCCTGACAGAAGCAGATAAATCAATTATAAAACCCTTCCAGCTCAGCTGCAGAAATGGGCATCTGGCGATCAACTTTTAAGCCTTCCCTTGATGACAAAACCTGCAGAGGTTCCATCTGATGGCTCAAGGACCTGCTGGTCATATTAGCAGCCTATTCTGAAGCCCTGTGGCTTGTATACCCTAATATCTGTTCCTTCCCATTTTGTTAGAGAAAACAGGGGATCGACTGCTAGCTAGCAGCTCTTCTGTGTCAGACATCCACAGCCATTACCAAAACCGGTGCTTTTCTTCTCTTGGCAGACTTTGATGAGCAGACTGCTGATGACTGGGATGTGGACATGAGCATCTACTATGACAAAGGTATTTGAGCTTGGAAAAACTTCATAGGAAACAGGGGAGGTTGGGAAGTTCTGAACCTGCAGAATTTTTGACTTGGGGAACTCAGTCATCCTTTGAAAGCATCTGAGACGTCACTGTACTTGAAAGAACATTTTTTGGCTGTGAGAGTTGCCAAAAAGAACAGGTTCTGCTTCCTTGCTGGGTGGTGCTCTGGGGGAAATCACAGCAGGAAATAGCTTTCCTGAGCTGTTCTACTCTGACTCTTGCTTCTTTTTTCCCTAGATGGAGGTGACAAGGATGCTCGTGACTCAGTCCAGATGTGGCTGGAACAGAGACTTCGAGATGGTTTGGAGGATGGGTCTACATCAGGGCAGCAAATTGGCACCTTTGAGAGATACACCAAGGTGAGCTTTGGATACAGAGTGGATGGGGAAAGGCTACACTGGTGATGTTCAAAATATGTGCATCTTGTGGAGGGAGGTTCTGGGAAGATGAGAGTGGGCTTTGTCCAACATCTTTATGACTTTTTTTTCTGCTCTTCCAGGGCTTTGGCAGGAAGGTTCTGGAGCAGCAGGGCTGGACGGAGGGGCTGGGACTGGGGAGCAACAACTCTGGAATGACTGAAGCTCTAGACAACGAGGGTCAGAATCCCAGGTGCAGGAGAGGTCTGGGGTAAGTACCTTGTCTTCCCCTGCCAGCCTGTGTTTGGAGCCTCTGCCTGGCATCTGCAACTAACTGGCTTAAAAAGACCAGACTGTGAACCAGAGCAGTAAGGCTGTGTCTTAGGGACCTGCCACAGCACTCCAGAGCTGACAGCTCTGCTCTTCCTGACAGTGCAATACTCTTGAAAGGGCTTGTGTTGTTACACTAAAAGAACTGGAACCGTTTGCAGGTTCGTGCAGCACACGTAGAGGGAAATCTGTGCTCAGGAATTAAAGGTTACCTATACTACGGTATTTCTGTAAGAAAAGCTCAAGTGACCTGAGCAAGATTTGTGTGCCATACTTCTGAATTCTCTGTGGGCTTTGCTCAGTGCCTTGTCTCATTGCGAGGGCTGCTTTTTGTTCCTGTCTATGAGATGGCTCTAGGACAGAACACCTGCACCATTTCTGCCCATTCTTCCTTTATAACATGTGGTGGAGACAGCCTGCATCTACAGGGGTGTCCCACTGCCTGAGCACTAGTGAACCCAACACTATCTGCTTCCCTCTAGGTACCATGGGGAGAAACTGCCAGCCTTCAGCAAGGTGAAAAAGCCACGGAGAGAAACGCCTGTCCTCATCTCAACCATCTACGATGACCCTGAGCCTATGGACAGTGGTGACCAGCTGCTCAGGCGCCAGCCACCCACTGCCATGAAGTACAGACAGGACGTGCCTTTCGTCCGGGCGTTGCGTGGCACTCTGGAGAGCTCCAGCACTCAGTCACACTGAGCAGAGACTATCAGAGCCTTTTTACTGCTCCTGTTGACCACAGGCTGGCTCCTGCTGGTCTCAGTATTGAAGTAGTTTGTTCATATATTTATTTTTGGAAGAAATAATTTGTAATGGAAATTGCCCTGATTATTATTATTATTTTTTTTTACTCCTTCTTGAGCTATTAAAGTGAGGGGAGATATTAATGGTCCTATTTGTTCACTGGGAACGAGGTGGGAATTGCATTTTTATGCCAGAGCTTTAAAGCCAATACTGCTGCCTAGATCAGCAGAGCTGCTGTGTTAGGTCCACAGCCAGCTCAGCCCAAAAAGCAGAGCACATAGTTCACAGCTCCTTGAGACCTAGGGCAGGACAAGTACAGACAGGGCCAGCTGTGGCAATGTAACTGTCCTGCAGAAAGTTTGCTGTTGGCTCACAGCTTTGTCTTGCTTGGGCGTGACGATCCCACAGTCCCAGCAGAAACTCACTGGGATGAAAGACACGTCCTGGCAGCCTTCGGGAAGGCGTCTCCCTGTGGTCAGGTATAGCAGCTGCTTCCTTCCATGCTTCTCTGTGACAAAGCCTGGGTTGCAGAGAGCCCTGGGCTGAGAGCTTTCATCCGTGTGACCTGGCGTTGTGGTGTTACGTGTGAATTAAGTCTCCTCCGTGTCAGTGGGCTCCAGCCTTTTCCTGCTGCTTACTCAGCACTTCTCATTAGGTGTGGCAGAGACAACGTAGAGAGTCATTTCTCTGTTTTTGAAAGCGGAGGTGCGGGGGGTTGGGTCTGTGCCTGGAGGAAACGGGTGGAGCGGGGAATCGAACCCGCGAACCGACGGCACCCTTCGGTCCGCTGCGCCCTCCGACCGCTAGGGAGCGCTGTGCGGGCCGCTGCCGTTCCGGGGCCGGAACGCGGTGAGCGGGGCCCTGCGGGCACCCGGACCCAGAGCTGCGACACCGGTGGTGGCGGTGAGCGGAAGGGGGAACACGTGGGGGTACGGGGGAGGCGTGGGGGGGGGATAGGAGAGATGGAGGAAAAAGAAAAGGGCTGGGAGTGGGGTGTGGGGAAGGATGTAGGCATGGAGGGTGGGGGTGGGGGCGGGGGGGAGAAGGGGAATGGGATGTGGGGCTGGAAGAAGGGACGCAGGGAAGGACGCAGAGCTGTGATGCTGGCATTGGGTCCTCACGCTGCAGCACCCTTCCTAATTCGCAGCCACGGGCTCAAGGCCCAGCTGACAGCGTTCGTATCCATGGAAATAAAGCTGTGAATGAGAGCTTTCTATTTCTTGCTCAGGAGGAGGAAATGAGCCGCCATGTCTGAGAGCAGCAAGGGGAGCCCGCTGGCCTTTGGCCAGGTTGTGATCGGGCCTCCAGGCTCCGGCAAGACGACCTACTGCCATGGCATGCAGGAGTTCATGGGCAGGATTGGGCGCACGGTGGCTGTGGTGAACCTGGACCCAGCCAACGAGGGGATGCCCTATTCCTGTGCTGTGGACATCTCTGAGCTCATCACCCTGTCTGACGTGATGGAGAACTTGAAGCTGGGGCCCAACGGGGGGCTCATCTACTGCATGGAGTATCTGGAGGCCAATTTTGACTGGCTGCAGGAGAAGCTGGCTGCCTTCAGAGGTCACTACTACCTGTTTGACTGCCCGGGCCAGGTGGAGCTCTACACCCACCACGACGCCCTGAAGAACGTCTTTGCACAGTTGGCCAAGTGGAATTTCAGGGTGGGTTCGGTGCTCTGTGGGCACTGCAGATGTGCAGGGGGCTCAGGTACTGCACACCGTGCAGTTGGGGCTTTTTGGTTGTGGATGTGGCTGCTGATGGTTGTTTTCTTCACTGTCCTGCTTGAGAAAGGGTTGTCCAAGGAGGTTGTGGATGCCCCATCCCTGCAGGCTGGATGTGGCTCTGGGCAGCCTGGTCTGCTGGTTGGTGACCCTGCACATAGCAGGGGGTTGGAACTGGATGGTCTTTGGGCTCCTTTTCAGCCATTCGATGATTCTATGATTTTATGCTTGGTGGGACAGGCAGGAGTAGCTTGTTCAGGATGTTTAACACAGTGCCACTATCCTAGGCAGAAACATGGGTTCCTTCCTCCCAGATTCTCGCTGCTGGAAGGTTTGTTCTGTATTTTATTTGAGTCAGTGCTGTATTTCAGGGCAGGGAATGCAGTGTGCGTGCAGAGCGAGTGCAGATCCTCTGCATTGAACTGTGAGAAATTCAGGTGTCATCTCAGGCCCTGCCTGCTGCTCCTGCAGCCAAACCAAATCGCTGTGCACGTCTTTAGACGTGCTCTGTGCTTTCTTGCACAATGGAAGATGCAAATTAGGAAGCGCGGGTGAGAAGAGTCCCATAACCACGCTAACTTGCCTACGTTGCATTTGTTTTGCATTTGGGCCAAACCATGAATGTGCAAACCACATGTGGTGCGAGCAAGAAGGGCAAGTTCGTTTGCTTGAGAGTGTCGCTGGGAATCTGCACATTAGGATTCATCTTTATTCAAATAAACATCCACGAAACTGTAGTTACTAAAAAAAGATGGTTATGCTCCTGTTTTGATGGGCACAGGAGTGCCTACACCTGCCTGTGAGCTTTGCTTTTTTCTTTTTTTTTATGCTGCAGAAGCACGGCTGTGACTCAACCACCCTCAGCTACAAAGCTCTGCCTGTGAGTTGCATTGTGCAACAGACAGCAGCTTAGTAGAGATCGTAGACCACATTGTTACAGCCGCGTGAAACGCAGGGAATCGAGCAGCTCGTTAATTTAGTGATTAATTATTATTTCAAACCACAGAGCGCTTGCTTCTCCTGGCACAGTGTGGTGTTCTGGAGTTACTGCTATTGAGCTGGCAAACGTTCCTGTGGGGAACGTGGAAGCATTGAGGCAGTTGTGTAGCTCAAAATGGGGGTCACCCCCAACTCCCCCCAAAAACCTGCAGAGTGCAGCCAAGCAGGGAACTGCTGCTGCAAAGAGAGATGTCCTCAGAAACGTGGGAGCAGTTGGGGTGTGAGGGTGGCCTGCAGTGCTGCAGCCTTCCCACAGCCCTCCCTGCACACAGCACCCTCACTCTGAAGCCCCCACGGGTGTGAGGGTGGAGATGATGGACCTATCAATGCATTGTATAGGTTGTATATCCATATGTATATCCATAGGATTGGTGTTTTATGTACATGTGATAGCTTTCCCCCTGTAGGAATCTGTGGTTAGTTAGATCTGGGTGGATTGTCCTTCTCAGAGTTTCCCAGGATTAAGCAGAAGGATTTTCACCTTTGTGCCTTTGCTCCCCAGCTGGCTGCAGTACATCTGGTGGATTCTCACTACTGCACAGACCCTGGCAAGTTCATCTCCGTGCTCTGCACTTCGCTCTCCACCATGCTGCATGTGGAACTGCCCCACGTGAACGTCCTCTCCAAGATGGACCTGATAGAGCAGTATGGCAAGCTGGGTAAGCACCTTTCAGAGAGGGAGATGTGGAGTCGGGTGGTGTCAGATGCAGATCAGCTGCCATGGTACAGGGCTGTTTTGCTGGGAGCTGGTTGGGAAAATGATGTAAATCTCGCTGGGTTCTTGCTAGCAAGCCTTGGCCAGGGAATCACCCATATCTACAACAGGTTTTCAGAGCCTCTTGGTGTTTCCCCACAGCTTTCAACCTGGATTATTACACGGAGGTCTTGGACCTCTCTTACCTGGTTGACCATTTAGCTTCTGACCCCTTCTTCAGAAACTACCGCCGCCTCAATGCAAAGCTGGTGGAGGTGATTGAGGACTACAGCCTGGTGTCCTTCGTTCCGCTCAACGTCCAGGTGATGCAGTGGGAGGAGAAGGGGAAGAGAGAGCAGGGAGCGCTGGCAAAGCAGCCAGGATGTCTGGGAGCAGCTGTGTTGCACGTGGGCATGCAGAAAGTGGGGGAAATGCCCCCAAATCCCATATTGCCTCTGCTACTTTTCCCTCTGCCCCCAAAACTTGCTGTAACAAATGGGACATGGGGGCTGAAAGGCTTTACAGTGGAGAGACTCAAGGATGGAGGAGGGCAGTGAAATGCACCCAGACTTTGCACATGTTCTGTGGCAGCCGAAGGAGAAGGAAAAGCTAATGGGCTTGGAGCTATGTGGGCCTCTTGTCCTGGGGTGGGGAATTGAGACTCCTTCTTCATTTAACACCCGCATTTCAATTCCAAGCCATTACCTAAAACACTTTTAAATCAGGGAGAGCAAAGTAATTTGGAGATGGGAGGAACGCATTTGTGAGCAAGGACTGAAAATGTTAATTTTGCAGTTTGCAGAAGTGTCAACAAAGGGAGATGGGCTGAGATGAGCAGTGATGAAAGGAAGCAAGAGGGTGGAGGGTGTCAGCCCATCGTGTATTCAGACCCAAGGGGGAGCTCCTCCTTGTCCTGTTGCCCTCTGGGCTCAGGGAGGAGGCAGGCAGTGTCATGGAGGCTTTGCGTGTAGTTTAGGTGGCCCACAGCCTCAGAGAAAATGGGTGGCAAAGGCCAGCGTGAGCTTTTGCCCCTGGAAGGACCATGTTCCCTGTGTGTCACCTCTCTCCCTTTCAGGATAAGGACAGCATGCGGCAGGTGATGCAGGCAGTGGACAAAGCCAACGGCTGTTCCTTTGGGGACCAGGAACACAGGAGCCTGGAAGCTCTGATGTCAGCAGCAGTGGGAGCAGATTTCCACTTTACTTCGTATCCTTCTCCACCAATCCTGCCTTGTGTTAATTTCTCCTTTAGACACTGGGCAAGAAGGGCTGGAGGTGGGGCTGGCAGCTTGCAGGTTGTTCCTGCCATCATCTGATGCTGTGTTGTGATGCAGATGCTCAGCCCGGAGCTTAGCAGGCAGTTGTCCACACCACAGCTACAGCATGCATTGCTAATTGATGCTGTTACATGTGGGAGGAATCTTTTGACAACTTTCCTCTCATTCACACTCACTTGGACTGTTTCTTTACACCCTGTCCAAACCATACAATTGATTCTCCTGTACTTGTCGGGTCTGGGATCAGCCAGAGCCAGAAATAACTCAGGTGATGCGTGCTGCTGCCAGCACTGCTGCCTTCCTGCCAGCCTTCAGGCACACACAGAGTTGGGGTTGGCTCCTCGCTGAGAACGTTAGAGCTCCTTGTAGAAGGGAGTGTTTGAGCCCTGCCCTGCTGCCTTGTTTTCCTTAATTAGTGCGTTATCAGCACGCTTGCAGTGCAGGAGAAGTATGTGCAATCTCAGGACAAGACGGTGGAGGAAGAAGTGATGGATATGTAACACACCCAGCTCCGCCGCAGCCGCTCTCTGCTTCGCCAGCTCTCCTTTTGCTGCTGAGAGTTCAAGGGACTCTCCGTGTTGTGTGACTCAGAGCAAGTGAAAGTCTCTCCGGGCAGAGGTCTGACTGCTGCACTCCCTCACTGTGGGAATTTGACCTCAGCCCCACTGAGCAGCAGTGGAATGGAGGAGTTCTGGCTGAGGACAAAGCAAGTTGGGTCTTTTTGGAGCAAGAGAGATCTGGGTGGGGGTTGTGAGAGAAGCAAGGGAGACTGAGCTTTGCCACGTCTCCTCTTCCCAGTGTGCCCAAGGTAGGTCTGGGGAAAGAAAAATCAGCTTCTCTAGTGAGACATGAGATATCAGTTCTTGGTTTACTTCATAGGAGGAGGTGTACGTGGCCCTCGTAGTCAGGATTATCCAGGCTAGGAAGCCTCCAGTCTGTCTCAGGGAGGACAGAGAGATGGTTGTTTTTCTTTTTTTTAAATAATGATGGACTCTTTCTTAATAAAACACTTTGTCTCGCTTTCATCTTGGGAGTTTGCTGAACCTGAATAAATAAAACCAAGTGCTATAAAGCCTGGAGCTAAAAACCCTCTGGTGGGAACGTCACAGCAGGGCTGTTTGCAGCATTGTGTTCCTCTACCTGGGAACTGTGCAGGTCCTTCTCCAGCTGGAAGTGGGGCTGGGAGCCAACCTGACCAGAGTGGGAGCTGAAACTCCATCCTCATGCCTTGCTGGTGTGGGTTTCCAACCCAATTTCTGAGCCCCGCGTCTGATGCAGAAGGGACAGATGATGTGCTCATAAAAAATAAGCTGATTTATGGCGGATTTTTCACTGCTCTGAGAGATTTGGTGGCTTAAAAGGGTGCTGTTGGGTCGAGCCAGAGTTACCCAAAGCTTTTGTAGCCGCTCAGCTTCTGCTGGTTCTACCCATGCAGCACCTGCAGCCCCAGCCCTGCGGTGGGGAAGATGAAAAATCAAAGAGCTCTGAGCCCCAAGGGGAGCACTGCCATGTCCCACAAACCGGGTCCTTCTCCTGCACGTCCCCACGCCGGGAGGGGACAGATCCCGAGGGCTGAGGAGGTGACAGCCTGGCTCCCGTCGCTCCCGTTGAGCAAGCATTGGGCACGGGGCCAGGATTCGTCACCATAGTGCAGGCCTGGCCCTGGGGTCCTGGCTCCCAGCCCGTGTGGTCCCTCCTGCCCCCACCCCCAGCTCTGTGGGGTTGGGGATGGGGAATAGTTGGGGATGGGGAATGGTCGTGAGTGGGGAATGGTTGGGGATGAAGAATGGAATGGTTGGGGATGGAGAATGTTTGGAAGTGGGGAGTGGTTGGAGATGGCGAATGGTTGAGGCTGTGTGCAGGGATGTGCAGCTCCATCCCCCTGCCCCACAGTGCAGCCCCCTCTCCCCCTCCCCCCAAGAATGGGCTCCAGTGCCCAGGACTGGCTTACTTCAAAGCAGTGGGCTTGGAGCAGGCTGATCCCAGCAGCAGCCTAGGAGTTTGGGGCTGGGACCAACACTGAGTGGCTTCAGAGCCCCCAGGCTGGGATGGGCATCATTTCTGCACTGCCTCAGCCTTGTGCTATTCTCTGTGTGTGGACAGACACACAGACACAGAGGAAGTGGGGCAGAGGTGTCCTTCCAGGCACTGCAGCCATCCCAAACATCTACCCCCACCCATTGTGAAGCCTGGCTGCCTCCCACTGATTTTGGGTTCAGTGAGCTCCGCATCAGGGCAGCACTCACTTTAGGCACCCCAAAAGCTGCCCTGCTGTGGCCAGCAGCCCCTAGGATGGGACTCAGCCTCTGTCACCCAGCCTGGGGACAAAGCTCAAGCCTGGCTGTGTGTCCTGCTGCCCGTCTGTCCTGCTTAGGTTGTGCAAGCAATGCCAATGAAGCAGCAGAGATCTATTCCAGTAGCCATAAAGCCATGGCTGCTAGCCACTGGGTGTGGGGCTGTGCTGGGACCTGCTCCCAGTGCCCACCACCTGTCCCCAGCCCTAGGGTAGCTCTGAACTGGGGACATTCCCTGGGCATGGGCACCTGAGTCCCATCGTGCTGCTGCTGCTCAAAAACCCTAAAATCCACGTGCACAGCCTTGCTCTGTTCCTACTGTGGGAAGATAAGGATGGGGAGCCCTTGTGGGTATCAGGGGTCCCTCCCAGCCCCAAAAAGCCTCCGGGCTGTCTGGGAGGCTGGGGAGCAGCGCGGCCCCAATCACACTGCAATTTGGGGCACAGTTATCATCGCTCACTGCCTGCCGTCCCCTCCCTGTGTCCCCAACCCCTGGGGTCAGGGCCAGAGGGTGCCTGCGGCTCATCCAGCACGTCTGCCAGCCCTGCACAGCCCATTGAGCCTGGGAGCAGCTCCCAGGAGGGGTGGGTGCATTCTGGGCAGGACAGAGGCCAACCACGGGAGCCCCTCATTTTCCCTTCAAAGGGAACCGTTGGCACCGATGGACCCCAGCCCCATCCCCATCCTCAGCCCCACGTTCTCTCCTCAGCTCTGGGTCGGGGGCTCCCAGCATTGCCTCGCAGGCACTAAGCCGGCTCTGCCACGGGATGTGGGGCTGGGTGAGCAGGTTCTGCTCCGTGCATCCTCCCACGGCCAGTGCATTCCCACGGCCCCATCCTCCCCACCCCAGGGTCGTGCCTCAGTTTCCCCAAACCCAACATTTGACCGTGCCGAAGCGCAGCTCGGCTCAATGTCCCCAATGTCCCCAAGCAAAGACCCCACTGAACCGGCGCACCCTGAGTCACACCGCTTCCTCCTGCCACCCCATTTCCCATCAAAGCCGGGTCCTGCCCACCACGGCCCAGCCCTGCTGCTCTCCATCTGATGAGCTCACGGCCCAGGCTGCCGGGACTGGATTTCAGTGTAATTAACTGTTCGTGTTGAAACTCGCGCTTTGAGAGCTGCGCCCTTCGTTGTGGCTGAGCGCCAGGGCCAGAAGTGCTGAGCTTTCTCCTGCGCCGGCACATCTGCACCTCCACGGGGATGTCCTCACCTTGGTGGGATGCTGTCACCTCCCCTGTGACAGCTCCATGTCAGTCCGTGTCACACAGGATGCTGAAACATCCTGAAACGTCCCCTTGTCTGCACAGAGCCCCAGTAATGGGGTTTGGGATGCTGTGGGTTGTGTGGATTGGGTGGGGGGCACCACGGGGATGGAGACATCATGGAGGTGGGGATATCATAGGGACAATGTGGGGATGGGAATATTGTAGGGATGGGGACATCATGGGGATGGGAACACCATGGGGACACCATAGGGATGGGAAGACCACGAGGGTGGGAACAGCATGAGGATAGGGACACTATAAGGACGGGGACAGTATCGAATGGGGGCATCATGGGGATGGAAAATCTATGGGAATGGGAAAATCATGGGGATGGAAATACCATGGGGGTGGGGACACCATGGGTTTGGGAACACCATGGGGATGGAAATACCATGGGGGGGTGGGGACACCATGGGAACATCATGGAGGTGAGGACAGTACAAGAATGGGAACAGCACAAGGATGGGGACACCATGGGAATGGGGACACACAGCTGCAGGTTGGAGACCTGGGACACCCTCTCCCTATGGAAAAGCCCACCTGGAATGCCCACCTGGAAAGCCCTTTCTGGGACCTGTTCCTGGGTCTGGGGCTCGCTGAGTACCCCCACAGCCCACGGCAGGGCTGGGAGGGGCTGCAGGCAGCTGGACCGGTGCTTTGGGGGCTCTGAGTGCTCCCCAGCACGGCGTGGCACGCAATGGGACCGGAGCTGGGAGCTTCAGGAGCTGCCTGGACATGTGCACGGGAGGAGAGATGAGGCGACCACAGAGGCAGGCGTGCACGAGATGGTTTATTGGAGCCACACAGAGGCTTCGGCAATTCGCGATCCTCCAACCGGGTGGGGGGGGACATCGGACCCCCCTCTCCTTTTTCCCCATCCCGTCCCATCACCTCCTCCCACTGCCCCCAACGGACCAGTGGCGTGGCTTCAGCCCCCCAAGACAGTGGGTTGGGGCCCCCCTGAGCCACGCTGGGGTATCCCCCAACCAAAATGCTAAAGGGGTGGGGGGAGCATGACAAGAACATGGGGGGGGGGAGAGGGAAAGGGGAGACCCTGCTAAAGGGCAAACATATGGACCCCACTCCTGGAACCGGAGAGGGGGGTGAGAGGGTGGGGGGAGCGAAATTCCTTACCCACCCCTTCAAAAAAAAAAAAAAAAAAAAAAAAAAAAGAAGGAACAGACACCAAAGGGTTTGGGGAAGGGGAGGAGGGGGCGTCTGGGAGGGAGAGGAGGAGGAAGGAGGTGGGGGATGGACCCCAGCTGCGTGGGGGCCGTTCAGTTCTTGGGCTCTTCGCCAGCCTCGCCGCCGTCTTCGCCCGCGCACTCGGCTGTCCATAGCGTCAGGTTGTCCCTGAGCAGCTGCATGATGAGGGTGCTGTCCTTGTAGGAGTCTTCGCTGAGCGTGTGCAGGTCCCCCATGGCCTCGTCGAAGGTGGTCTTGGCCAGCGAGATGGCCTGCTCGGGGGCGTTGGCGATCTCGTAGTGGAAGACGGAGAAGTTGAGGGCCAACCCCAGGCGGATGGGGTTCGTGGGCTGCATCTCCTTTTTGCTGATGTCCATGGCCTCTTGGTACGCCTTCTGGGCGCTGTCGATCGTCTCCTTGCGGTCGTTGCCAGCGGCCACCTCGGCCAGGTATCGGAAATAGTCTCCTTTCATCTTCAGGTAGAACACTTTGCTCTCGGCGTCGCCGGCCTTCTTGATGAGGTGCTTCTCCAGCAAGCCCAGCACCACGTTGCAGACGCCCTTCAGCTCCTCTTCCACCTTCTCCCTGTATTCGTTCACCAGCTGCGCTTTGTCGTCGCCCTCCTCGGTTTTGTGCTCGATGCTGGAGATGACCCTCCAGGCCGAGCGCTGGCAGCCCACCACGTTCTTGTAGGCGACGGAGAGGAGGTTGCGCTCCTCGTTGGACAGCTCGTCGCCGTGCTCCACCACCGCCTTCATGAAGTCCGCCATGTCCTCGTAGCGCTCGGCCTGCTCGGCCAGCTTGGCTTTCTGCACTTGGTGGTTTCTTGCCATGGCTGAAGGCGGACGGGCGCGGGACGAGACGTCGGGGCGAGGAGTGGAGCCGTCGGAGCCTCTGCTGAGCTTCGCCGCCTCGATTCGCTTTTGGCTGAGCGTCGGAGCCCCGAGCGAGAGCGGGAGGAGTCAGCGAGGCTGAAGGAGCGGCCTCCTCCTCCTCTGCTTCCTCCCCACTGAGCCCGCCCTTAAAAGGCAAATTGCCGTGAGTCATCGCGCCCCGAGGCAGAGGGGTGCTGGGGAAGGGGTGAGCGGGCGGCACCCACCCTGCACCTCGCTCAGGGTGCCGGGAGGGAGAGGATGAGCTCAGGGAGGTCCTGGGGTCCTCGGAGAGCCACCCTGTGTCTGTGGGACGCCCCAGGGGGAGTCTGGGTCTGTGGAGAACTCTGGGTCGATGGGAGATCCTACAGCAGTAGGAGACTCCGAATCAATGGGGAGCTGAGATCAGTTGGGAACCCTGACCCAGTGAGGGTCCCGGGATCAATGGGAGACCTC